ATTTATAATAATAATAGCACAATTTAAAATCAATTACCTTTGAAAAAATTATATATAAATAAAAATAATATTGCATACCACTTGTTGTGAAGAATATGGGTTATGAACTTGTTCTGAAAAATCCCATGAAATGTGAAGTTTAATATTAAGTGAATTTGTAGATCTAGTGGGATTTGAATCTTGATTTAAATTTTCAAATGCTTCCTTTGCATTTTTTATGCAATCTCTAAAAAATCAACATATAAATTTAGCAAAAATCTTTAACAAAAAAAAAAAGAAAAAAAAGATACCATGATTGATACCTATAATATTCACGTTCCTTCATTGCACATGTAATATGATCATTCCATTTCTCTAACCTTCATTTCCTTTTCTTCTTCCATCCAACAATTTGCATTGAACCTATGTTCTTTGCAAATATGACATAAATCACTTCTTGGAGTAAGAAATTTAATTTCTGGAAGATATGTATGCCATATTCTTCGAAATGTTCTATTTGAGACATATATTTCAGAATTTTCTTCAACTGCATCAATAAAATATTTAAATACAGTAGTGTGATTTTCATCTGCTGGGAGAAATATAATAGGCTTTGTGTCTTTTTTAAATTTTCTTCCTATAATAAATTTTACATTAATTAATTAATTAATTTATAAACTTTTCTTTTTCAAATTTAAGGGTAGAGTGCAGTCACGTGATTTTACATAATGATTGGCAAGGATAAATAATTCCCAAACCTCTTTTAAATCACTTGCTTCATACGCAGCTACACCAAAAACTAGTTTTCGTGAGATGAAAATTAACACAAAATCCATTTTCAGCATATATACAATCATATAGTAATAAAAAAATTTTTTATTGTTAGATGATTATTTCAAAAAAAACTCATAAAGTTAGAGACATTTTGCTAATCACTAATTAAAATTTGCTAATCACTAATAAAACATATAACATTTTCTATGATATATTAATAAAAATAAATAGAAATAATAAATTTTAAGTGAATAATAACCATATTATTAAATACCAAAAGAAAATTGCCTGTTTTTAATCAAGGTACATGTAAGTGATATTAGTTTTACTCTTGTAATTTGGATCATTAAAAACATTTAAAAATAGAATTTTTGAAAACAACTATATAGATGAGTTGAGGGATGGTAATAGAAGTCAATGACAAGATAGCAATATATCTCCGCCTACTCTACATATACTATTTGTTCTATTGTGAGATCAAAATTCTGCGTCTCACACAAATCTCTTGGATTTAGTTAAACTAATATTTATTTCATTTTATGGCAGTATCCAATTATTTAATTCTTTGATTACTTTCTTTCACTATAGCGCTCAAGCTATTTAATTATTTACAGGGCAAGTTTTCTTACTTCCCTTCCGGTAACGTTTTCTCAGCAGTTGCTATGTTTGCTGCCTGAGCCAGAACGTGTCAATTATTATCCCCTCTGATAATAATCCCAGTATCTTCCTTGATACTGATGTGTTGTGTTTTGATGGTTCAGTGTTTCTTAACTGACCACACCTAGCTAGGGTTTCCACTTATTTAGGCGTTGGCCTAATCTAAAATAAAAATAAAGAAAATAAGATT